CTTCAGCCTGAGAAGTTCCTCTCCCTTTTTCGAGCGCGGGGAGGGCCCCTGGAGGCCGCACGCGGCGAGAAACGTCAGGACCTGGTTCCCTTGGGACCCGCTTGCCTCATGGCGGGACGTGCAGTGACAATCAACGCTACGAGAGCGGAAAGCCAAGGGAAGCGGCGGAGAAGAAATGCCTGTGCCGGCCCCCGTGCCCGACCCCAAGCTCTGTGCCTGGGTGAACAGGTGCAGGGTCTCCGTCAAGAAGTCACCGACGGGGAACCCGATCTTCAGGGTGCCAGCCACCTCGTTGCTCCTCCTCCTCCTCCTCCTCCTCCTCCTCCTCCTCCTCCTCCTCCCCCTCCTCCCCCTCCTCCTCCTTCCCCTGCTCCTCCTCCTCCTCCTCCTCCTCCTCCTGCTCCTGCCCCTCCAACTCCTGCACCACCGCTTCCTCCCCGCCATCCCTCCTCACAGGTCGACGTCTGGGCCTGTCCAGGCCCGCGCCGCGGGCAGGATGTCGAGGCGCAGCCAGCTGTGGCCACTAGGTTGCCCCTGCACGTGGAGGCCCCACAGAGAAAAAGACGTCCACAACAACTGCATCCTTGAGCTTCCATCCTGGGTCCTCGTCCGTCGAAGTCCAGCGGGGCTCGGTCGCAAGAGCCTCGATACCCCCTGGCTCTTTGGGGAGGAGGGAGGGGGAAAGGACGGAGGAAGGCTGGACGAGGGGGGGGGGGGGAGGGGGAAGGAGAGAGAAAGGAAGGGAGGGAGGGAGGGAGGGAGGGGAGGGGGCGAAAGTCCGCCATTTCATCACATGCCGTCGCCCTCGCTCCTCGGGAACACGAGGGACGTGGGAGACGTCCAGGGGGCTGAACTGGTTGGAAACTGGTGGGCCAAATCTATTCAAAATCGATCCCTGGACCCCCCCCAGAGGTTATTCCCGTCGTACTGTTGGTACTCCGTCTGGTGCAGTTGTTCACCCTGGATCCGTTTCTGACGGTCCGGGGGCCCGGAAATAGCCCCCAGAGGCCGCAGAAAGCCAAACAACTCTCCGAACCGAGCGCCTCGCCTCGTCTCGCCTCGAACATCGCCCCCTCTTAGTGCTCGCCGGAACCACAGCTGGGCAATCTCAGACCCCCAGCCGGCTCCGACGTGAACGTTCTTGACTATCCTGAGGAGGGGCTCGTCACTGGATTCGGTCCTCCCTCACGCGGGCTTGCGCACACGCTGGGGGGCCTACAGCAGGGTCGCAGCTGCGCAGGCACGACCGCCATTTTCGCATCGCCAAGACGCTCACCGTGCCAGCTCTGGCTGCCACGAGGCAGGAGGGTCCAGCAGGAACGGGTCCCGAAGACCCAGGGACACTCCCTGGGATCGGCTTTAAATCCCGAGCTCTCTTCCTACAGCCCTCAGGCCCTTCCAGGGCCCCTCGGTCCCTCCCCGCCTTCCCGCCCGCCTGCTTCACCCCGTTGGCCCTGGCCTCCCGCCTGCGCGTTCGCCGTCGCCTGCTTGCTTATCTTAAATCGGGCATGTCCTCCGACAGGCGACTTTTGCAGGAACAAAGGAGAAACAGGTCAAACCATACCCAAGAACAGTCCAGAAAGAATCGGCACACCGTCCCCAGACTGTTGTTTACAATCTTTGAACATTCCTCCTGTAGAAGCGCATGCCCGCCTTGCTGCTGATCGCTCCCTGCTTGGTGCGGCTGTTTGCAGGAGTGCGCCCTGTGGGAGAGAGACTCCCCCACCTGCTTGGACGGCAAGCGCCCACAACACGGCCAAACCCTACTCCACGGTGGGGGTGGGGGGTGAAAGAGGGGGGCCCGAGGGCCCGCGCCGTTCGGCAGAACGACGCATAAGACAACGATCGCCTCCCCGCCTGCCCGCCCGCTTGCTTCACCCCGCTGGCCCTGGCCTCCCGCCTGCGCGTTCGCCGTCGCCTGCTGGCTTCTCGCTCCCTGCCTCCCTGCCTCCCTCTCAGCCGCCGCGCAGCGCATGGCCCGCGGGAGCCCCGGCGGACCCCGGGAGGCCGACAGCGGTGCACACTTCCCCGACGCCGTCGCTCGCCTCCTCCTCCTCCTCCTCCTCCTCCTCCTCCTCCTCTCCCCTCCTCCTCCTCCTCCTCCTCCTCCCTCCTCCTCCCCTCCTCTCTCCTCTCCTCCCCTCCGTCTCCTCCTCCCTGTCCTCCCTGTCCTCCCTCCCTGTTCTCTCGGTCCTCCTCCTCCTCCGCCTCCTCCTCCTCCTCCTCCTCCTCCTCCTCCTCCTCCTCCCTGTCCTCCCTCCTCCTCCTCCTCCGTCTCCGTCTCCGTCTCCGTCTCCGTCTCCGTCTCCGTCTCCGTCTCCGTCTCCGTCTCCTCCTCCTCCTCCTCCTCCGTCTCCTCCTCCTGCTCCTCCTCCTCCTCCTCCTGAAAGCTAAGAACAGGCTTAGGACCCTTTGCCTTCAGGGCCACTTCCCCGACACCCGCTCAGAGTCTGTCCCCAGACCTGCCCCCCTAGGCCCATCCTAGGCAACTTTTCGAGCTGCGTCCAGCTGTTTCGACGAAGACCTCCAGCTGCGCTCAGGAGCCTTCGAAGCGAAGACTTCAACATAACTTGCGTTGTTCCCATCGTTCGGAAGGACCACATCCCAGAACATTTCGAGCACCCAGAAAAGTATCGGAAGAGTGTCTTCCCGACACGCCAGCGAAGTGCCGAGCGAATATCGCCTCCCAGGGCCCGGCACGTAAAAAACCTCCAATCCCGATACTTTTTTCTGGTGCTTGACATTCTTCGTGGTGATCAAGACGGAAGTAGGTTGGAACATCCTGAAGCGAGAAAGGCGGCTCCGTCCAGCCGCGGCGAAGAGAAGGGAGGCGCGGGCACAGAGGGCGAGCAGTCCCTGGGCGGAACGCGCCATGGGCATCAGGGGGGAGGCGTGGCCGCACCTCGGCTTCGAGTCCTGGCGGCCACCTCCTCGGCTCAGAGGGGGCGGAGCGGATGGGTGGGAGGAGGCCCATCGCGAATTCTCTGTCAGGACGCTGCGCGGCTCTGCACAAGCTGCACACCACGTCGGCCGCGACGAGAGAGAGGAGCCACGGACACACGAGAAGACGCGACGACATCGGGCGGCGGATGGGGCAGAGCAGCGGTACAGGCGAGAAATACCATGAACCACAAAACAGAAAACCGTCTTCGCGCAAAGGCGACAAGACGGGACGCGGCGAGTGGGACACAGCATCAGAGACGCCGGCTCCGAAGGCCAAGGCGGACAGGCGCCGCCAGGCGGGTTCAGCGCCGATCCAACAGTTGAATCTTTATGCCACTGTTTATTCATCGGAGCGGGATAGGAGGAGTACGGAGGGGGACGACGAGGGGAGCAAGCGACCGCCGCCTGGATGGCAAGGGTGCTCACCGCGCCGTCTCTGCACAGCGCGACGCGCAGCGACTCCTGCCGGCTCGTGGCGGGTGGGCGGTCGTCTCCGCCGCCGCCGTCGTCGTTCTCCTCGCTGTTGTCCTCGTTCTCCTCGACGTCGTCCTTCTCGACGTCGTCGGCGATCTCCCTCCTGCTCCTCGATGTATGTCGTCCTCTTCCTCGTCGCCGTTGCCCTCGTCCTCCTCGACGTCGTCGCCCTCCCCGTCGTCGTTGCCGTCGTCCTCCTCCTTCTCGACGTCGTCGTTCTCTCTCTCTCGTCGTCGTCGTCGTCGTCCTCCTCCTCCTCCTCCTCGCTGTCGTCCTCATCCTCCTCCTTGTCTTGCCCCTCGTCGGCCAGGAGGCGCAGGAGCCTCCACGCCCCCGTCGCACCCGGCTCGCGACGATTTGCGCCGCCCTCGAGCCCGCCGCCGCCAAAATTTTCATTCTGGCTCCGCGGTGCACTCTCAGTCTTTGCCGGGCTCAGTCGACTGGGGGACCAGCACTCGCCTCTGGCAGATACATTCGCTGTCTCCGCACTCTTTCTCGATCTCTCTCTCCTTGTCGTTGTGGCTGCTGGTTCCCCTCCCCTCTCTCTCTCTCGCTCTGTCTGTTTTTTGTTGTTGTTTGTTTCTCTCTCTCTATATATATATAGATGTGACTCTGTCCCTCTCACCGATTCTTTTTCCTCTCTCTCTCATTACGCTGGTTTGGCTCCCTCTCTTTCTCTTTCTCTCTTCCTCTTTCTCTTTTGTATATATGTATCTCTCTATCTCTCCCTATCTCTCTATCCCTCTCCCTCCCTCTGGCACTGGCTCGCCCTCTCCCTCCCTCTCTCTCTATTCATGTATGTGGCGTGTGTGTGTACACACACATATATATATGTATATATATATATATATGTGTGTGTGTGTGTATGTATATCCACCATTGTGCCCTGAAGGGTAAAGTTGGAGTGTCCACAGGTCCTTGGCCTACTCCCTGCAGCCTCAATCCTCAATCCTGAAGGTTTCCGATTGGGCCCGGACCCAAAACTGCCAAATCTCCCGGGGCCCGTCGCGTCGTGCCCGAGTCGCCAAAAGGTCGCTCCAAGACGCCCACGACGGTCTCAAGACGGCCCAGGATGCCTCCATGGCCTCCCAGGGGCACGAATTATAGATTTTCTGTAGGCTTTTGAAGATTTTGGCGTTACGGCCTTTTCAGATTCCCGATGCTCCAAGACGGCCTCAGAGGCTCCCAAGATCGTCCCAAGAAGCCTCCAAGAAGGCCCCGAGACCGCCCCAGAGGGCCGGAAGACGGCTCAAGGCCTTCAAGGTGATCCAAGGGGCCCCCAAGACGGAAGAGGGGCTCAGACGGGAGACCCGACGAACAAACATTTCCTCGGCCCCGAGAGGCGCCCAGCCCAGGAAGGATCAAGAGGCCCCCCAAGATGCCCAGAAGAGGCCCCAAGAGGCGCCCACGAGGCCACCACGCGGCCCCCAAGGGGCCCCCGAAGAGGCGCCAAACCAGCCCCCCAGAGGCTTCAAAGCTGCCCCGTGAAGAAAAACGCGCGCCCTTCGGGCCCGCGGTGGCGCTCTTTTCTTTTGGAGGGGGGGCACCTCGGGCCTCTCCAGGGCCCCTCCTTCCCGCAGCCCTCGCTGGCCCCCCCCCGTCCCGCTCCTGGTACGTGCGCTTGCCCAGGACTGGGATGGAAGCCACGCACTTGGCCCCGGCGATGCCGCAGCCTGGCTGCTCCTGCAGCCTCTGCACCTCGGCCACCTGCGCGGAAGGCAGCGGCGACGCGCCGACCACCGCGCGCGCGGAGCGCGCGGCCTGGCCCGGCCCGCTCGACGCGGCCACCGCTGCCTCGGTCGGCCGCTCCGGCCCGCTCGGCGCGGCACTCTTCCACGTCTGGGCGCTTCCCCCCGCGCGGCCGCGCGCCAAGTCCCCCCTCCCCTTCCCCCCGCGCGGCCGTCTGGGCGCTTCCCCCTCCTCTTGCACGCTGGCCAATTGGCCGTTCGGTTGCTCCGGATAGCCGCGCGCTGGAGCGGATCTGCCTCTGCTTCGCCGCCGCCGGAAAACGCGTGGCGCGCGGCGCCGCCTCCGTGTAGCCGCCACAGTGCCGCAGGCGCTGCGTTAGGTGGCGACCTTCAAACCCTGGCCCCTGCCAACCATCGATTCTCCTGAATCGACGGGGCTGGGGGTAGGGCTCGGATTTCGCCACGTGTTCGACGACTTCCGGATCCCCACCCCCGCCGCCCATCGAGTTGCCGGGATCGTTAATCGGCGAGAGTAATAAAAAAAAACAAGCGGCGTAAACACAAACTTTTTGGCGCTCCGCGCGGATTTCTTGGATCCGCGATGGGCCCCCCCCAGCGGCGCCTCCGGCGCCACCCTGGCGCGCTCCGCGCGGATATCGCCGCCGATAAGCGGAGTGTCGTCAGGTCGCCGAGTTCTCTGTGACTTCTTCTGGCAGGAGAGCCCAGAATCGAATCGACAAGTTGGATCGGCGATCGAAATGGATCGGATCGGCGGGAATCGGCGGCCACGTCGGTAGAAGTCGAGTCGGCAGAAACCGCCAGGCTAGTAGGCCTTCCTTGAGGAATCGGAGCCCCATTCGGACTCCGAAATCGAGGCGAAGTGGACTCGGAGGCCGTCGGGATCGAATCGGATCGAGTCGGAGGTATCGAGAAGGGCCCTGCTCTGGGTCCTCCCGCAGGGGCCGACGGCCCCAGCTGAAAGTCGGGCGTGTCCCCCTACAGGGAGATTTTCGATGAAAAATATGAAATACACCTAAAATACACCAAACAGGTAAAAAATACTAAAAAAATAATCCCCTGATTATTTTTGGAATATTTTTTGACTATTTCTGGGGTAAATTTTTCGTCGGAAATCCCCCTGTAGGGGGGGGGCACGCCCGACTTAACCCCAGCTCCATGCGGCGCGAGCCGTGGGCGCCCCCCGGCGCGACCTCGGGGGGCCTCCCGGGCGACGCTTCGCAGGGCAAAGGGGCGGCCAATGGCGGCCCGAGAGGCCCAAAGGGCCCCCCCCCGACGGTCCGAGAAAGCGGCGGGACAGCCGAGGATGGCTTCAAGACGGCCTCGGGGACGACCCAGTGGCCACAAGAGTAAGTCGGGCGGGTCCCCCTGCAGGCAGATTTTTTGGACGGAAGATGAAAAAACAGCCCAACGATGCCCCAGACATGCTCAAACATAGTCAGAACATCGTCCCCAGACTATAAAAACACTTATTTTGAACATTCGTCCTGTAGAGGGACAAGCCCGACTTAACCATACGAGGACCCCCAAGAGGGCCCCACTTTGTCAAATCCACTGCTTCCCGTGTGTTTTTCGCACAGGCTTTCGAAGTCTCGCCATGTCGGGTTTCCAACGCTCCAAGAAGGTCCAAGATGTCCCCGAGATCGCCTCACGAGGCTCCAAGATGGCCACAAGACAGTCCCACGACGTCCCATGAGTTCCAAAAGATGGTTCAGAAGGCGTCCAACAGTGACCCAGGAGGTGCCCAAGAGGGGGAAAACAACGAGGCCTGGGGGGAAGCTAAGCGGTGGACAAACCTCCCTTTAGCAAACCTCCCCTTAGTGAAAACGCCCTGGGACCGAAACCGACGGACCTGGACCCGCAAAAATGACGGCCGCGACGCCCTCGCGCGAACCGAAAACGGCCAATTCCTTAATCGACGTCGTGTCAGGGTAGGAGGTCTGTCCACCCCCGAGAGGTGCCCAAGAGGGGAAAAACAACGAGGCCTGGGGGGAAGCAAATCCCAGAGCCAGTGCCTCCGGAGCCACCCAAAGCGCGCATAAACGGCCGCAAGAGGCCCACGCAAGCTGCAGCGTGGCCGCACGCCCCGTGGCGCGTCGGCAGGCGCCACGCTGCGAGTGAGCTCACGGGGTCCGCACGTCGAACCTCGTTCACGGAGCTCCGGAATAGCAGGAGAAGTGCGGGCAATATTCATGATGTCCATATCCAGGGCGTCTTGGACTCTCGTGGAGGGGGCGCCGCAAGGCCGAGGCGCCCTGGACATGGACAACACTCGAGCCTCTAGTAGGGGCCGGATCTTTATCCAGATCCAGTGCTCCTCAATAAAGACAATAAAGACAATAAAGACAACAAACCCGAAGGGCTCCTCAAGTGCTCCTCAATAAAGACAATGATCAGTGCTTTCTGGGGAAGGGAGCCCAGAACCCCCAGCTGCAGTGGATATGGGCACAAGTTTTGCCCGCAGGAAGGGGAGGAGGGGAGAGCGGGAGGCACGGTTCAGGCCGGGCGAAAGGGGGGGGATAGCAAAGGGGGGGTTTGAGAATCAGCTCACGCAGCTGATTTTCCCGGCGCCTCCCGGCGCCGGAACGCGGCCATGTGTCGAGGAATGGGCCCCTCGGTGGGGCCGAAACCAGCTGCATGCAGCAGATTTCGTAGCCCCCCCTTTCCCAATTCCCCCCTTTCGTCCGGCCCGAACGATGGGCGAAGACGCGAGGCGAGGAGGCGGGGCGGGGGAAGAGCGAAGGAAACCCGCCGGCGGGGGGCAGCCGGGGTGGGTGCCTCCTGGCGACTTTTCGTCGCGCCAGGGGCAAGATATGCTGCAATAGGGGGGTCTGCGACTCCAGGTCGGCCTTGCGCGCGCGCCCAGAATCAGGAGGGGAAAAAAACACACAGACACAATGAATCGTCGACTCCCAAGGAAATCTGGAAAAACATGGGAATTGGGGGGGAGACAAAAACCTAGAAAATATGAGGAAATATGGGGAATCGTTTTATTTGTGTGTGTGTATATATATATATGTGTGTGTGTGTGTGTGTGTGTGTGTGTGTGTGTCCCAGGGCCCCTCCACAGAAGGAGCACGAGGCCCAGGCGGAGAAACATGCAGCCACGGGCGGCAGCGGCGGCGGCCGGGACAGCGGCGGCGCCTGCAAGCCTTCAAGAGAGCGTCTCGAGAGCCCCCCCGAGGCGGTCGAAGAGGGCCCAGAGGCACCGGAAGTCGTTCCGAGATGCCCAAGATAGCGTCCATACGGCTTCAACCGCCTCCGAGACGCCCGAAGATGTCTCCAATACCACTCCCAAGAAGCCCCCTGGAGGCAACATTTGATGATTTTCTACGGTCTTTCACTGTTCTCAGCGTTCTCACCTTTTCGGCCGCCAACGCTCGAAGACGGCCCCAGAAGAAGCACCTAAGATCGCCCCAACACGGCCTAAGATGCTTCCAAGAGAAACCCACCACGGGCCAAGGGGGGCCCCAAGAAGGCCCCAGAGGCCTCCAAGACGGACAGAGAGAGCTCAAAGACGGCCCCAAGAGGGGGCCCAGAAGGAGGAAGCCGAACGGGTATTTCGAGACCTTGGCCCCAAGAGGCACCCAGGCTGCCTCAACCGTCGCCCAAGGGCCTCCCAAGAGCGCCAACTAATCCCCAAGAGGCATCCAAGGTGCCCCCAGGAAGGCCCCCCAAAGCTTCTAAAACTGCTACACGGGAGCCCCCCGAGAGCCCCCCGCAGAGACACCAAGATGCATTCAGGAGGACTCTCACCCACAACGACAGCAGCGCCGACCAGCAGCGCCGCATGGCCCACGAACGCGCGCGCAAACGCCAACGATGGCACAATACGGGCCGGCGGAGTGAGCGAAGCGATTCAATATGCCCGTCTTCAGAGGCGTCCTCCCATTTGTGTGTGTGTGCGTGTGTGTGTGTGTGTGTCACTTGCCGCCCAATGAATTCGACGACGTGTGGATGCACGTGCCTGGCATGTCCTTGGCCGCCCACGCTTCCGAACGTATGAGTCTGTCCTGTGCTGCCGCGTGCCAAGCGGCCCTCAAGAGGCCCCCAAGGCCCCTCCCAAAAAAGCATCCAAGAAGGCTCTCCCACGGGCTCCCGAAAGGCTCCACCCCGAGAGCCTCCCGAGAGGCCACCGGGAGGCATCCCTCAAGGTTCCCATCAGGTGTCCAAGAGGCCTCTGGCCCACAACCAAGGTAGATGTGAACTTTAGCCTCCGAACTGACTCCAAGACGGCCTGCGACCACCCCCGCGAAGGTCCCTACATAGCCCACGAGGCCCCCAGGGCGGCCCTCAGATGACCCCAGGACGGCCCGATAGACCTTCAAGACAGCCCTCGTGCGCTCCGAGGGGGCCCCACAAGAGGACCGCCAACGAGCACCACAGACCGCGACTGTTGCGGAGGTGGTGGGGAGCATGAATCTGCCACGGGGACCCTTTGCATGGTGAGCGGCCGCCCCGGCCCTCGCTTGGAGTCCAGACCCCCCCGCACATGTTTTCTGGTGGTATGTGTATATATGTGTGCGTATATATATATATGAATATAACACCCCGCAATTGCGGATAAGAGTGAGGGGGCGGGCGCGGGCGACGCGGGCGTCGTCGAGCCGGCGGACCTCGTGGCCCCCACCTTCCCTGTCGATGGCGCTCTCCTTCTCCTCCTCCTCCTCCTCCTCCTCCTCCTCCTCTTCCTCGTCCTCGTCCTCGTCCTCATCGTCATCGTCATCCTCCTCCTCCACCTCGTCCTCCTCCTCCTCCTCTTCTTCCTCGTCCTCCCTCTCCCCCCCTCGTCCTTTCATCATCGTCCTCCCATTGTCGTCCTCCCCCTCATCCATCATCGTCCTCCCATTGTCGTCCATCATCATCATCCCCCCCTC